GGCTCACACTGAGAGTCGTGAGAACATAAGAAAGCACTTGTGCTTGAAGAAAGCTTCGTTTGAAAAGCCTCCTTTAGTGGCTCTAAGCTGAGACAAGGCTCTATTTGTCACATGTGGCCTGTGCTCTACTGGATGCATACAGGGTTTTAAACTTCTATTCAAGCACTGCGATCGTGTTCTGTCTCCTTTAACAAGCTCCTCTAGTTAATGCCATCACCATGGAGATGAGCTCTTCGCTATCTCCACATCCTCTCTAACCAGAGAAACACATGTGCACATGTACAAACACTAACAACCTAACACTGAAATCTCCTTCTGTTCCTGGAGGTCGACAGGGAGAACATGGAACTAGTAATGCCAAGGTCATTGCTTCGACTCCCAGAGAACACCTGGAATACACTGTAAGTGCATAAGCAGGGCTCAACAGTAAGAAACGTCTAATAGCCAGCTGAGGGAATTGTCACAGACGTTTATTATATGCATGTGTTTTTTGGTCTCGCCAATTTAAACGTTCAATTGATTTCAATCCATTCAGGTGCTAAATATTGCAATTTGGTACACAAAATGGGTTCTCTTTTGTGTCTTATCACACTTGAACAGACAAATACACATACAATATTCAAAATGCAAGTCTTGGCAAGTATCTTTGTAAACAGTTGGCTATGTTATAAGTGAACATAAACAGTGGAGAAAGAAATCGAATCTGCTATACCTATGTTTGAACTTTATAACATTACGTAAGGCTAGTAGTTTTTGCTGTGGTATCAAAATTGTGAATTGAGAATTGTGAAATTTCCCTGGTATCAAAATGCTGGTGTTGTAACAACCTTTTGTGACAGGACAAGTGAAAATCAAAACCATTGGGCCGGTAGCAAAAATCCTTAATGTTGAGCACTGCTAAGCATTCATCGAATACATAATGATTGCGTTATTCCAAAGAAAACCAGGAATTACATTAATGTAAAATCACGAATTGGTCAAAACAAGAAAAGTTTAATGTAATAATGTAAAAAAAATAGATAGATATCCTGCAGGACAAAGTAATGTGACAAGTGAAATCTATGACGTGAGTAATTAAATAAAGCCTCTTTGGCAGTCTCATCACTACAAAGGTCAAAATGTCCAAAATATTCAACATCTTGAATGGGTTTATACCAGCCACATCTCATATTCAAAAGCCAACAAAGTTCACGTAACATACTAAGTGTAAAACATCAACTGCAAAACCCTAATCACCACATTTAAATTATTTTATAACTGCTGTGCATGACTGGATTTGTACATCATTGATAGGCGACTATACACCTGTCGTGCACCCTGCAAAGTTGTAAGCCAACGCAGAATGACGTTAAAGTTATCAATCTTTAAATGACCTTCAACTTATTATCAACCCTATGAATAAAGCTACATAATCAAACCACTATTAATCTCTGATAGCTGTGCATTTTCATAGCCAGCAGTAGTACAACGAGATGTCAACCATCTAACGTTACTCTCATGAGACCAACTGTTGACTGAGCCAAGATAACAATTAAACCGAAGAGCGATTTATGAATTACATTTAGTAGATTATTGAAGACATAAAGTGTATACTTCATCAGTCATGATCCGTTATACTAATTTCGTGGCTCGCGGACATTTAGCTTAGCAACTATTAGCCACATTCCTACTGTACGAGATGACAAATACCTAAATACTACGTTTCGTGCTTATTCGCTTATAGCATTGTGTATCACTTATTCATTCCCATTCTCGGTTTTAGTTAAATGACTTTGTACAGTCTAATCATCTGTAAGGTTTCTGGGTAGTTCACTAGCGTGTTAGCACTTATTAGCCTAACTCGGCTAGCTGTTTCACACATCACTCACCTGGTCTCTAATTTTGAGAACCACCATGTTTCGATGCTCTCTTTGGCTCTCATGCAGGACTAAACGGATATTATTTACCACCACCACTTGAATGCTGATGTTTTATTGTCGGTAAATCTAGCGCTTCCAGTAGGCCTGGGGTTTCCTATGTGCCACTGATGAGCAGGGGAGAAAACTCCATAACATTACCGCCACTGCTGCCTCACAAAGAACGGGGACGATGATTGGCTAGACAGAAGTTTGAGCGAGAGTAAGAAGAACGATGATTGGTTAAAAGCAAGATGGGGAGCTGTGTGTGTGTGTGTGTGTGTGTGTGTGTGTGTGTGTGTGTGTGTGTGTGTGTGTGTGTGTGTGTGTGTGTGTGTGTGTGTGTGTGTGTGTGTGTGTGTGTGTGTGTGTGTGTGTGTGTGTGTGTGTGTGTGTGTGTGTGTGTGTTTGTGTGTTTGTTTATTTCAGAGAAGTAAAAGAGAAGTGTGTGTTTCTCTATCGCAAAGTGACTTCCACTTCATGTTTGAACAAAAATGAACAGAAGAAGGTAGATTAGGATTTATATTATGTTTAGGCTAGTAGGCCTAGTAGGCTATCCTATAGACTACATTTATAACGGTTTCTTATATATTTTAAGTCCTTTAAGAAAATACTTTAATACTTAAAGTAAAGTGGCCAAATGACCATGAACATTATGGAAAATGATATATGTGTTATGCCAATATCAATTGGGATAGGTCTAATTATTCATCCCAATGATCAACTATAAATGTCACTGTTTTAGGTAAAGGGACGGACCTGTTGTAGGTTTAAAAGTGGTAGCCTACATTTTAATATAAAACTGTCGAATTAGCTCAAGTGGGGGGATTTAATTATATTATAGGCTAACAAAGTGTAATCTGTATCAATGATATAACTTTACCCATATTTTACCCATCTTCTTTACTGGGTCTTCACTTTGTGTTACAGGAAATACATGTTTTCATAGGACTGTACAGAAAACAATGAAACCGGTTCCTTGTATTGTTCCTTAAAGGAGCAGCTCATCAGAAGATATAGTTGCTAAAGTTGTGTTAGATAACAAATAGGCTAGACAGATTACATGAATATCATAAATCATAGTCTACTGAACGTTTGTCTCAATAAAATAGGCCTATAAAACTATGAGAATAAAGAGAGACTACATTCATTTGGATTAAACGAGGCTTTAGTTGCTTTAAAGACAGGATGAGCGTTAAATAAACGGAGAACAGTCTATTAATGTTGTGCACCAGATGACGCTAAAGATGTAGGCTATTTACTTTACAAAATACATATCAGCTTGTTAACGCAAACCAGTCACAGAAACTGACACGATACCATGCATTTACTATATAAACAATAATTTAAAACAATTTAAATAAACATAAATTGAAACAAATCTTGGTTAGCTACAAAAAATTCGCTGCTTGCTCTCTGTAAAATAGCAGTCAAATCCACAGACCGCAGACATCGGATATGCTCATCATTATCGCCATATCTGTGGATATGCAAGACAAGGCTGAATCCAGCTTCGTCTTTTCATCAAATGCGGTTGTTGCACGCTCACATTGGTAACGTTAGGCTAAGATGGAAGATGTCCCATACGAACATGTGCATTACTTCGGGCACATATTTTATATAGTAAGTTTAGCATATGAAATGATAGCTAAATGCATCAGCCAATGTGTTATTAAGTGATATGCTATAGGTGTCATAAAAAAATAGCCTATTCGAAGAGGCTAATTTTATATAATGGACATTAATATATAGTGATATTTGTCAGGTAGGCTATAGGTATAGAGGCAGCAAATAATTTGGAATATAGCACAAAAAAAAGTGATATAATAATAACTTGCATATTACAATACCATTTTCAGCACTTTTTATGTCATAGCATAAGCCCTTATACTTCCATTAAGGCTATTCACATTGAAGATTCACTGAATTTAAAAGGATAATTCACCCAAAATAAGAAGATATTTTGAAGAATATGGGAATTTTATGGAGGAAAAAAATACTATGGAAGTCAATGAGGTCCATCAACTGTTTGGTTACTGACATTCTTGAAAATATCTTCTTTTGTGTTCAGCAGAAGAAAGAAATTCATACAGGTTTGGAACAACTTGAGTAAATGACAGAATTTTCATTTTTGGGTGAACTATCCCTTTAGATGACAACCCTATGAAAGCTTCTTGGAATTCTTTGGAATTCTCTGTCTTCTTCACAATTAAAAGCAAGGAATGTAAAAAAAAAAAAATGGCTGAGCTCCAGGCCTAATTAATACATTTTAGTGAACAAGCCACTGTTGTTAAAGAAACATGCAAGGATGTGCAAATATTTTATGCGGTGACATTTGACCATTTGTACAAATTTAATTAATCAGATGAAACATTCCAGTCCTCAGTGTGTCTTGTTACTAAGAAATAATAATAATAATAAATAAATAAACATTAATAGGCTCAGCAATTTCATTTTCTACATCCTCAGATGAACTTAGGCAAATTATATAATTGTAATAGTCAATGACATTAATCAAAAACAATTATAATACAGACAAAATGTGATGTCTATACACATTTATTTTAAATATGAAATTCTGCTAAGGTGGCATATACCTTTGTTACATCCATGTAATTAGTTCTAATTTATATCATATTCTAATAAATTTTATTAGTATTCAGAGTTTCGTCTCAACTTTCTTCATCAGTAAAGTCATTCAAAGTGGTCAAAAAAGTGCAATTAACTCATGCTATGTTGAACAGCTTTAATTTTGCTTAAACATTTTGTTTTTATTACCATGCTAAAACTGGTAACTTAGTATTAGTCACACACTGTCATAAAAACTAAACATAAATAAATTGCAGAATGCTTCTTTAAAGATATTTATTGGTTTTACAGTTCATACAGTTCATATTACAGTATTATATTTATAATGGCTTAACAATAACTGTGATATTTTGTTGCCTGCAGTTTTGTGGGTTTTGGGGTACTTGGACGAAGTTGCATACTGGTTCACCCCATGACTGAAAAGGAATTGCAGGAAGTGGTTAGCAGGTTATGGGTGAGGGAGAAGCCCTGCCTCTGATCAGACTGTCAAAACCAAACATTGGTCTGTCACTGAGTTACAGCAGAACTGTCAAACTAACTACAAGTTAGCCAGCCCTGGACTATTATGTTAGTTAGTATAGCTGAATACAATTTTTTTTAGAGAGCAAAGGGTGCGTTTGAGTCAGTAGTAGAGTTTTAGAAAGTTAGACGAAACTTAGATAATGTTAGTTAGATTGACAGACAGCTTGTCATTTTAGCTTAGCAATGACAGGGATGTGTTTATATTCTGCCCTCGTGTCAACCATGGGCTTTAACTGTTTACTAACACAGGTGAATGCTTCAGATTTAAAGACCACTACCGGGTAATTGTTAGTTTTGTAAGGTTTGTTTATTTGGGCAGAAAGCTAACAGCAGATTAAGTTTAGCCTGCTAGCACCACCCAGATAACCACGAATCTTCTGTGGGAATTATGATGAGCTCCTGTAATGTTTATGCAAGTCGCAAACGGAGGAAACCTGCTCAGAAAAGGTAATAAATCATTGTTTTACTAAGGCTGCTTAATAGTTAAACATAACGTTACTCAGCTTACAGCACGGCGTCAGCCTGTTTATTCACCAGACTCCTGACTATCGTGGCATAGTTCATATTTTTGATATAGTTTTTGTTTTAGTATTTCTTTATATAGTTATCTGAATTCAATTTGACTCAACTTTGAGTGGTGTCGATGCACTCTCTCCAAAATCTAACCAGACTGTGTTTGCGAAACTTTGGACGTATAAACGCGTTCGACCGTGTTTTGTGCTTGAGCGTTTTCATTGAACGATTCGTTCTTTGCGCGTCACATGGCAAATAAGCGACCCAGGACCAGGAGGTGAACTAATAATGTGTGCTTCCATAATTCATATTTGGCTGCATGCGTTATGAGTTCCTAAATCGGAATATTAAAAGAAATTTATAAAAAATTGCGCATATGAACGTGTTATTACCATTGAAAATATAAAATTGATCTCCTGACTTAAAAAAAAGAAGAGATTTGTTCATTTTGCTGAACGAAACGTTCAAGTCAGTAAAAAAGGGCACATAACACACACACATCGTTTTTTTCAATTGCTTAAGCACAATTTTGAAAACAGGTTTGTCAAAACACTACACAAAAAGTAGCACAACCAATAACACAACACTTAAGATCATTTGCAAAATGGAACACTTTTGTCAAAACTATATCAGCTAAATTGGGCCACTTTTTGGTAAATCGTTTGTGACAATAATACAATACCATAAATGCCTTTTCCATGAGGTTTTATGATTAATAATGACTGTTTTTGATAATTTTGTGTTGAAATTATGTAATAAAATATAATTATTTAGGCCCTACAGTTCTTGAAACATCAGCTGTGGCAACTTTTTTTGCATGAGCCGTTTCAGGTAAAATGGGCCAGCTGTTCAGGTAAAATGGGCCAGTCAAACTGCAAAGGGAAATAGCAATTTATCATCAATTTTAATTTTAAAACACAATTTCTTATACAGCCACATAACATTTAAACTGCATTAAACAAACATATTTCATATGTGCCATTTAAAAACGCGCGTGTGTGTGTGTGTGTGAACAACATTTAGAACGAAATGAGCAAATTACAAAAAATCACTTCAGAATTGATAACTGTGTGTGATGAAAACATTTTTCAAACACAGTCTTTGCAAATGAAACCATCGTCATCACAGATACCATTCTCTTCGCCACAGCTCTCATGAAACCAAGCAGAACATGGATCACATTTTACCCATTCCTCAGTAGCCTTAGGGTCATTTGGGTCGCCATAGTGGGTGTTGCAGACTTTGCAAGGTGATTTGCTTATCTTGCCCTGCTTTTTTTCCCCTTTTGGTTGCTTGCTGCCCGGGTACTTGCTGCCTTGCTTGGCTGGTTGCTTGCATGACTTTTTTGTTTTAATGTATTCAATGTGTTGTTCACTTGTTAGGTTATATGAGGGTGGCTTCACTCTCTTTCTGATGGCCCTCTCCCTTTGCGGCACTGAGATCAAGTCAGTGAATGAGACCGATCTCACAGACTGAACAGAAAGAAAAAAAAAGAGCCTATGTTATTGCAAGAAATAGAATAATTATTTGGTGTACATTTTATATTAGGGACTAAATTGTGTGTGTGTGTGTGCGCGTGCGTGCATGAATGTGCATGTGTATGTTTGCGTGAGCATGCATGTGTAACATGTCATGTAGCCTAAATTTTAAAGTAGTATAAATTATATCACTTACTGTGGAGGTGGAAGGTCCTTCATCCTGGGAGTGGGTTTCTTTCTGTGGTGTGAACTGATTGAAGAGGTCATTAGCCGCTTTCCGACCAAGTAGTTACAGGAACTTAGTTATAGGAACTGTCCACTTCTAAACAGTTCTAAGAACTACTCTCCCCCAAACTCGGTTTTGCTGTTTGCGTTCGCACTGGCCAAGTGGCCATAGGAACTGGTAGGAGGGGTAAGGGAGTGACGCAAGCACGGCGGCGGCGGCGGCGCCACATACAACAACAACAAACCAGCATGGAGGAGGCTATCGGAATGTTCCTGTTCTGCCTTGCCGGGAGCTTAATAACGAGTACGAACGGCGGCGTTTAAAGACTATGCTTGAGTTCTGTACAGAGAAACAAAGAAGACGAAGGCTCCAGCGTAATATGATCTTAAGTAATATAATGGAAGAAGATAGAAGAGCAGAGCGCAGGAGACAAACAAAACGACGGGTAAGTTTAGCAAGCATAGCAATTAGCTGGTTGAATGCGTTATGTTATGAGTTAGCATAGCATACATAGATAGGCGAATTGCAACAGACAGTGAATAAAATGTGTTGACACTGGGCGTGACTTATAAGTTGAACCAATCAACGTAGACCTAGGGAAAGGGAACTAAAAAAGTCCTCGCTCTAGACTAGGTACTGAAAGAGTTATAGGAACTACGGTCTGAGGAACTAAAAAATCCCCAACTTAGTCCGGTCGGAACACGCGAAAAAAAAGGTTATAGGAACGTTAGGTTCTAGGAACTGCAAAAGTCCCTCCGGTCGGAAAGCGGCTATTATCTTCTTCCGGTACATCCTCCAACCCAACCTCTTGAAACACCACCTTCTCATCTTCTGGGAAAAAGTACAGTGGTTCCACAGGTAGCAGGGGTGTCAGGGAAGCAGAGGACTGAGGTCTGGCTGGCGGATCGGCAGGCGACTGAGGTCTGGCTGGCGGGTGGGAGGGCTGATGTCCAGAGAGCAGGGCTGACGGCTGGCGGGCAGAGTGGGTCAAGGTCAGCAGGGATGGGAGAGACTGTGGTCTTGTGGGCGGGGGTAAGAGACACTGCGGCCTTGTGGGCGGAGATGGTAGAGTGGATGGTAGCACTCTTTCGGTGGTCTTGCTGGGGGCAAAAGCAGTCTCAGGGAGAATATCTTTATTTAGAGGGAACATCCCTGTCCCCCGGAACCCTGCCTGAGCATTTTCAATAGTGGCAGCCTTTGCCCAAGCCCTGGTGAACACCGCAAAGAACTCCATCCTTGACAGCTTCTGCCCAGCCATCATCCTCGTCCACTTCCTCCCTTCCTGGTCCCAGTGGTGTTTTAGACTCTTGAAGAGGGCCTTGTCCGCCGGTTGCAGCGCATGGGTTGTGTGGGCAGGGTAGCACATGATGTGCACATTCTTCAGTAGCTTAATAAACTCCAGGTTATAGACGTGGCTACTGTGGCCGTCAAGGAGGAGAAGGTGGGGCCTGGGGTCATCCCTGGGGAGGGACTGAATGAACATTTGACCCCACTCCAGAAAAAGGTCAGAGGTAATCCAGCCATTGTCCGAACACCTTACGCTGGTGTTCTCCGGGCATCCCTGTAGCCACTCAGAACGAACACGCTTCCCTTTAAAAATAATTATCGTTCGACTGTATGTCCCTTCTGCATTGAACGCTGCCAGACAAGTCGTTGTCTCCCCCTTCTCTCCGGCACACACCTCCACACATGGCTGGCCAACCTGTCCAACGACCTTTGTCGAACTGAACTGGTCCTGAAGCCCAGACTCGTCACAGTTCCATATATGTGACGGTGTGCCCTCAATACCCAGCTCTACCAAAAGGCTCTCATACTGGTTAAACCACTGGCTAACCACCTCTTTGTTGAGTCCAGCAGCCCGTGCTGCAGACAGGACCTCTGGCTTGCGCATCCCAAGCTCTGGGTTGCGCTTTAGAAAGTTCTGAAACCAGTAATATCCGGCCCTCCCTGCTGTCTTGGAGAAACCAGATATGTTGTTCTTGGCTGCAAAATCAAAGGCCACTTTTTGGACATCACGTTTTGTGAAGGGAAACCCCCTCTGAGCCAAGGTCTTGAGGGTGGCAGCAAGCTCCCTTTCCGCCTCCTCTGGAAGGTAGGGCTTCCGCCCTGACGCATGTTCAATGGCAGTCACCTTTCCACTGATGCGTCTTTGCAGTGTGGATCGCGGCACACCCCATGCTCGTGACAAGAGGTGCACACTCACTGTAATTCCTTTCTTCACTCCCTCCCTGTATTCATCTAAGGCCTCCTTCATCCTCTCAACTTTCCACAGATTGTAGTTGTTTGGCCTTCCTTTCCCTCCCTGTTTTATCTTTGCATCCTTTCCTCTCTGGTCCTTGCTCCTCCTCTCTTTTCTCTCTTTCTGTCTCCTCTCATTTCCTCTGCATTCCTTTCTCCTCACCTGTTCTCTCACTTCCTGTCTCTGCTTGTCTCCTCTCTCATCCTTCCTCCTCCTCTCACTTCCTCTCTCTCTCCTTCTCCCTCTCTCCTCTCCTCTCGCTTCCTTCTCGTTTGCCATACTCACTGTAAATAAAATATCTACTACCATTATTACTGTTGGGGTGGGGGGCATGGTGTGTGTGTGTGTGTGTCTGTCTGTCTGTGTGTGTGTGTGTGTGTCTCTCTGTGTGTGTGTGTGTCTCTGTGTGTGTGTCTGTCTGTATGTGTGTGTGTGTGTGTGTGTGTGTCTGTCTGTGTGTGTGTGTGTCTGTCTGTCTGTCTGTCTGTGTGTGTGTGTGTCTCTGTGTGTGTGTGTCTCTCTGTGTGTGTGTGTGTGTGTGTGTGTGTGTCTCTCTCTGTGTGTGTGTGTGTGTGTGTGTGTGTGTGTGTGTGTCTGTGTGTGTTTGTAAGTGACACAGATGATGGCCCATTTTAGCTGAAACCATGCTGCCCATTTTACCTCAGTGGGTTAAGGTAAATTGGGCCGCCAAGAAAAACATCACTTTTACAAAAAATATGTTCATATACCAAACTAACAACATTATTTCTGATTAATGCCATCAAGACAGATATTATGCATAGTTTTTTATGTGCATGTTTTTTTTTTTTATAGACTTATCATCCTTATAATAGTTTAGATTTGGTATGCCAGGCTACTTACCATGCAGCTTTCTGGTGTAGTCTTGATTTGAATTATTCCCCCGCCCACCATAGCAACCATAAACCAATCAAATCACCTGTTACTTGTCAAGCACAGTTATGACAACAGTTTGAAATCCTTTGCAGTCATTGGCTGTAAATTCCAGAGGGGCTGGGACCCTCAAACCTTAAATGGCCCATTTTACCTGATATCACCCTACACGACTATAACAAAACAATATTTTGTTACCATACGAAACACACACATTTCATATGACTTAAATCTTTTTGAACCAGTTACACACTGCTGTTGCTAACCTAAAACACTTTTAGCAAGTCTAATTCTCAGTGATTAGAGTAGCTACTGTAAATGAAGTACACAGAGAAAGTGCAACTACACAATAGTTCACCAAACACTACACAAGACCAATGCTGCAGACTGAGGAAAATATCATTGATTTCTCTCCATATACCCAAATCCGGAGAATCACAACAAAACATTAGTGTGCATAACACTGTTAGCTCAGCAAACAACAGACAAACGTAAAATACTGTATCCAGTACAGGTTACAATTACAGTAAATAACAACAACAAACATAAAAAATAATCTGAAAAAAGGCAGGTGAACCTACCTGCTGCATTTTTATAGTGCTTAAACCTGATTGGTGTGTCTACAATTTAGCAATCATGTGTGTGTGCACCTGATGGCTGTGTTTAACAGATTGGCTCATAGGTGTGGTAATTTGACAGTCAAGCTGCGTCCCAATGTGCATACTATGCCCTAAATAGTATTGACAATTCCTAATGTCACATACTATTTAGGATGGATAGTATGCACATTGGGACGCAGCTTCAGTGCTTTGGAATTGCAAGGAAGTGACATCATGATATACTTCTGTGTCTGATGTATACAAGTGTGTTTAGTGTTTTGTAAATCACTGTGTGTAATGTTTTGCAAATAGTGTGAAGCTGACAATGTGCTTACAGTTGTGCAAATCTAGCCTTGTGTTTTGTTTTGCTCCATGAGTGTAAGGTTTTGCTAATTGTGGGAAAAGTTTAATTTTAGTGTGAAAGCAATCGTAAAAAAACTGTAACAACAACAAATATTATTTTCAACATGGTCATTGAATTTAGGTGTTTCACGTTATTTTCTACTCATATTTCATATTTTTTTGCTTTTTTCTTACCAAAATGTGGGCCATGTCTAAAAACAGTCTAAAAGTTTGTGATTAATTACGTCTAATAGAGCAAACTTTACAAAATATGAAATTATGAATATCTGGCTATCCTGTCATGTACTAATCTGAAAGTTACAGTAAAGCCGAATGTTTTCTCTCTTTTTTTAGTGAAAAGAAGTCTCCTCCTGAATGCATCAAATCGAATCCATCCAAACGACATCGGGACCGGCTGAATGGAGAGTTAGACAGGTTGGCCAGCCAGCTCCCCTTCCCACAAGAGGTCATATCCAAGATGGACAAACTCACCATACTGAGGCTAAGTGTGAGCTACCTGAGGGCCAAAAGTCACTTCAATGGTAATACATGTAAACGGAAGCTGGAGTTGTATACTAGTTGTACAAGTGCTGACTGTATTTAAATTTATGGATGGAATAGTCCCAGGGGGTCCAATCCTGATGCCAGAGGACCAATGTCCTGCAGAGTTTAGCCCCAAATTCTCCAAAAATCCAAGTAATCCTGGAGACCTTGATTACCTTGGTTCAGGTGTGTTTAATTGGGATTAGAGCCAAATTCTCCAGGAGAAGGACTGGATACCCCTGCAATAGTCCCATCCAGTTTATGCAAATTTGAAAGATTATTGTTTATAATTTTATGTAATTTCTATAAAATTCTGTCATAGTTTAGGATTGTGGACTGCATCCAAAAGCAACACTTTTTGCGCACATGTACCGAGATGACCTACATCTTTCGGCGAGATTCTGAAGTGTGTATACGATGGACACTTTACTATCCCATGAGGCCACGGGAGAGGATTTATGAATGACAGTGGAGCGACTAGATCACATGATAATGACTACATGGCTAATGTAGTATGTCCAGATTACATTCATACTACACAATCATACTATAGGCCTATAGAACATACTTTTTAGCGCTCGTGAAGTAATTACTTATTTAAAATAAGTACCTACTCAAGAGAGTATGCGATTTAGGATGCTGCCTCGGACGCACTTGTTCAGGAAGGAAAGTAACCTGCGCATGTGTTTCATCAACAAAACACACGTAGGAGATGACAGTTTGATGATTTACTCTGGATTCGAGCGAGGGGTGAGTGTGCAGTGTAATCGCTCCTCAAAAGAGTCCATTTGCAAGCCTTCATGCAAAGCACATACAGTAAACGCAAGTGAAAAGGGGGGGTGGCTTAGCGTATAAAAAGGGGGGGGGGGGGGGGGGGGTGGCTTAGCGTATAAAAGATGGGCTCCGGGGCTGCATCACTGGTTTCATCAGCTGAAGCGAAAATTCGCTCTTGGCGCCTGCACGGTCGGGTTACGCAATACTCGTTCCCTCTACTAGAGAGAACCGAGGTTACGTACGTAACCGAGTACGTTTTCTTACGAGAGGTTCTCTCGTATTGCGTAAGTTGCTTACGCTACGGCAACCCATTGTCAACGCCGTGCGCGCCCAGCATCCACTTCATGAGTCCCAGCGATTCCCGGGGAACATAGATAAGTGGGAAACAGGTGGCCAGCAGTGTGGGGCAGCACATGTTAAAGCACATATAGGGTATACAGAGTGGCGATGCCGGTCCATATAATATTCACCGTACAGTGCGGCTCAACCAGGAGAGCCAGAATCGCGTGAGAGTAGTCTGCGCATGATAAATCTGGGCAAGACATACACACATCTCATACTGACAAAAGTCTAGCCTGCAGGGCTGGAACTTCCAGGTTATAAAACCTGACAAAATTAGACGGAGAGGCCCAGCCTGCCGCCTCACAAATGTCGTGAATGGAAATTCCGCTGGACCAAGGCCACGACGAGGCCACGCCTCTAGTGGAGTGCCCTGATGCCCAGGGGGCATTGCAGGCCTTTACACCCATAGGCGGATGCGATAGCTTCCACTATCCATCTGGACAGGCTCTGTTTCGAGGCGGCGAGACCCCTGTTGCGCCCACCAAACGAAACGAAAAGCTGTTCCGAACGCCTGAAAGGGGCGGAGCGCGTAATGTAAGCCCTCAGCGCCCTGACAGGGCAGAGGAGATTAGCATCGTCCTCACTATCGGATACTGGCAGAGCCGAGAGAGAAATGACCTGTGCTCTAAAGGGAGTGCCCAACACTTTTGGGACATAACCGTGCCTTGGCTTGAGGATGACTTTGGAGTCATTTGGCCCAAACTCAAGACACGCAGCGCTAACAGATAGCGCGTGCAAATCCCCTACACGTTTAACTGATGACAGAGCTGTCAGAAAAACGGCTTTGAGCGAGAGGTACTTTAGGTCAACGGAGTCTAACGGTTCAAAGGGGAAAGCTTTCAGGGCCTCTAGGACCAATGAAAGATCCCACATGGGAACCGATGGGGGTCGCGGGGGGTTCATCCTTCTGGCTCCTCTAAGGAAGCGGATGACAAGCTCATTTCTTCCTATTGACTGACCTCGCGCCGACTCAGTGAACGCTGAGACTGCCGCCACATATACTTTAAGCGTGGATGGGGACCTGCCCTTATCCAACAGCTCTTGAAGGAAGCCAAGCAAACACAGGACCCCACAGGTTCGTGGGTCTAGATCTCTATCGGCACACCATTTGGAGAACACAGACCATTTAGACGCGTAAAGCCGCCTTGTAGAGGGGGCTCTGGATTGCGTAATCGTGTTCATCACTCCTTCTGGCAAGACAACGGGTATCCATTGATTACCCATGCGTGCAGAGACCAGCGCTCTGGATGGGGATGCCAGATTGAGCAGCGGGCTTGAGAGAGGAGGTCCCTCCTCACCGGAATCGGCCAAGGGGCTGTATGTGACAGCCGCATCAGCTCCGGGAACCAGATTTGGTTCTCCCATCGCGGGGCTATAAGGAGCACCATGTGGCGCGTTTCCCTGATCCTCTTGATTACCTGTGGTAACAGAGAGACCGGAGGGAAAGCATAAAGGGGGAGGCTGGGCCAGGTTTGGGCCAGCGCATCCTCGTTCTTTGAAAAGAACAGCGGGCAATGAGCATTGTCTTTTGACGCAAACAGGTCGACTTTCGCTTTGCCAAAAAGGCGCCACAGTAACTGGAGTCACAGTCACCATTCCCCTGGGGGAACATGGTCCCTGGATAGCTTGTCTGGGCCGTCGTTCAGGTGGCCTGGCACGTGCGCAGCTCTCAGCGAGCGCAGGAGGTGCTGAGACCAAACGAGAAGGCGTTCTGTCAGATGGCAGAGACTTCTGGATCTGACACCGCCCTGACGGTTTATGTAGGACACCACAGACGTGTTGTCCGAGCGGACTAACACATGGTGGTCCCGTATGAACGGGAGAAAGCGCCTGAGCGTGTTCTTGACCGCTATCATTTCCAGACAGTTTATATGGAAACATCTCTCCTGGTCTGACCAGAGGCCAAAGACCGGTCTGCCCTCGAAGAGGGCGCCCCAACCTAGGATGGAGGCGTCCGTCGAGATGAACTTTCGGTACGAGACGGCTCCCATTGTCACACCCCGCTGGTACCAGTCGGCCGCTAACCAGGGCTGCAGAGCCGAAACGCAGCTCTGAGTCACTCTGATCAGCTGAAGTACAGCCGAGGCCGATGCCATATAGCCCAGCATTCTCTGGAATGTCTTCAGAGAAGCACTGCTGCCCTCCTGGAAAGATGCGGCCAGGTGTTGAACACGGCGTGCGCGCGTGTCGATAAACGGGCCGTCATAGCCACAGAGTCCAGTTCTATTCCTAGAAAGGAAACTGACTGACTGGGCAGTAATGAGCTCTTGGTCCTGTTGACCGAGAGACCCAGGCTTTCCAGATGACTGAGAAGCACAGTTCTGTGAGATAACAGTTCCATCTCTTACTGCGCTAGAATCAGCCAGTCATCCAAATAGTTCAGGATTCGCAGCCCTTTTCCTCTCAAGGGGGCGAGAGCCGCGTGCATGCACTTCGTAAATGTACGGGGTGCTAAAGACAGGCCGAACGCTAGGGCGGTGGCCTGTGACGGGGGACTATCGGAATCTGAAAGTATGCATCTTTCAGATCGAGAGAGATAAACCAGTCTCTCGGGCGAACTTGCGCGAGAATTTGTCTGGTCGTGAGCATTTTGAACGGCCGTCTCATGAGAGCTTTGTTCAAATATCTCAGATCTAAGATAGGTCTTAGAGCTCTGTCCTTCTTGGGTACAAGAAAATAACGGCTGTAAAAGCCTGACTCGCTCAGAGAAGGAGGTACTGGTTCTATGGCCCCTTTGCACAGCAGTGGATGCGCTACATCCGCTTTCACTTTCATCTCTTGGTCTGTCCTCGTAAGCGAGGGGGACAGCGAGCGAACTCAAGTGAATAGCCCTGACTTATAGTGCTCAGCACCCATTCTGACACTCCTGGAATAGCCTCCCATGCTTTTACATGTATAGCTAGGGGCAGAATGGACTCCGGGTTCCGATCGTCACTCATCGCGGGCTCGGGAAGCTGAACCGGAGGTGTGTGCGAGGCGCGCGCGCCCTCGGATCTCAGGAACGGCGGCTCGCTGACAGCGGAGACTGTCTGTATCACTTGTAATGACCCATCTACTGGGAGTGGGGAACATTTTGTGAAAATATTTTGTGCGAGCGGAGCCTGGGGCGAAGCGTTTGTCAGTAAGCGTGAGCGCTCACGGGCGGGCACGTGACTTACATTCATAACTCGGCCGCTGTGAGGCTGTTGCCGTGTGACAGAGCGGGCAGTGAGTAGATGTGTGCACAAATCTGTGGGCACATTCTCTACATCTATCACTCGAGCGGCTTCTACCAGCTTTATGAGAGTGGGCTCTGTGGGTGTGTGAGACACGTGGGGCTCCGTGTTTATGTGTAGGGGTGAGCACTGCTTTGTGGGCACTTTTTCTACACTTAAAACACCATCGGCGTGAGCCGGTTTGCCAGAAATTATACTCTTTTTGAGATTTCTGTGGGTCGGCGAGAAAACGGCGGTTGTGTGCAGGCGAGCGGGCTGTGTTGCCGACTCGTTGGCTGCTAAAACTACATCTGCAGTAGCCTTCTCTGAGGGGACTGACAGGACGAGATATTTTGACGGTGGTCCGGCCGCGGCGAGACCCAGCCGTCTTTTCCTCTCTGCCGTGGCTAGGAGGACTTCGTGTGCTCGGGCTTCAGCGCGATCCTGGGCCGGGGTCCCCGGGGGGAGGCGGCCTGGGGCAGCTGGACGAGCACGATCTAGGGCGGCCGCCCTGTCGTCGCTGCGAAGGCTGGGGCTGAACTGGAGGCTGGCTAACATTCCGTGCAGGCGGCTCACGTGGGCGGCTTGCAGCGGAGCTCGAGCGTCGAGGCAGAAAGAGGTTCATGGCCTGCGAGGTCTTCTGCACTTCGGAGAAGCGGTCGACGATCCCGTTTACCGCTGGGCCGAAG